TCACCATGATCTGCTGGGGGAGTACCGCCAGACCTGACCCAGTCTATTCCATCTCCATTACGCATCCCACATAGATCCTTTTCAAAATCGCATTCCCAGTCGTACCTCGAAATTTCTTGATTTGGATCTGAAAGACCAGCACCATATTATACTATCGATGAAAGGTAAGAGTTATCAAAAAAAAAAGATGCGAACTAGGTCTACAACCGAAGCAACTAATAATAAGTACCTTCCACATCAGTAGTACTACCTGGTGGTGTAAGTACTATATCTCTGATGCTCCATGGACTCTCCCTTCCATCTTCACCGACCACCTTTACTGCAATCTCATATTCCTTGTTAGGCAAAAGACCAGTGAGTTTGACGCTTCGAGAATTTGAACGCATCTTTGAAAGCTGTTCGGATTGGTAGAGACCGTACCTAGAAAATCAACAATTTTTTACCCTAGATATTCAGTCTTATATGCTTAACTGTATGAGGTAATGTCTCTGAGTTCCATCAATCTCATTTTCGATGTCCAACTCGGGATTTGGGTCTTCCCACGTAACCAGAACCTCTCCAGGCTTGGGAGAATTTGCCCGAACGGCTATGGGTGGCCAGAGAGAAAATGCTTGCGTTCCTGATATAAGCAAGGTTAGGTAGACTAGGGTAACAAAGACGAGGCAGCCTTACCGTCACTGGGTAGTGTTCGAGCCGAGAGTAGAACCGGTTCACCGTCTTCGCCATCTGCTTCGTTGTAAGCGCCAACGGCAAAGACATAGTCTGTATCGGGTTCTGCAAAAATACTTTTGTTCGAATTTTGTGAATTCTCTATCACAATTGTAAACTGTTCAGCTGAAGATTTCAAGTGTTGTCTAAAAACTCTCCCATTAGACTCATACTTGCTGCGCAATTCACTTTGATGGAAAACTCTACGTGAATCCGATCCTTGGATTTCTTATAGGGACATGGATCGAGAGGTTTCAACTACGATATCGCCCAAACTGCAGATTATCATGTTCAGAAGTAGGAGAGCAATTTGACTTTGAACTCCAGCCCATATCGTACTTTCTACCGTACTTGAAGACGCTGGTTAGCTCGCTTGGAGGAAGTATGGTAACGGCCGAGAGTTTACCTCAGGAACCATATTGTATGCTTGGGAAACTGCCTTCAAGCAGCTTCATACTTGAACTAAAATTCATTTTCCATGTTACTGCATATATTTGCTCTTTCCTTCGTCCAGCTATTTTCGTATTTTCTTGCACTCTACCCAGACTTCCGAACGTAATGCCAGATGACATTTGCTGCAACGGTTTTTGCTTTGTATGCCACCTTGATTTGAATGAATGGCGATCAGAGCACATTGAGTCGGGCACGTTTCCAGCAAATCCACAAATTCATTGCAAGACCTTACCAAGTCGATTCAGAGTGAAAGAGTTCGTGTTGGCTCCTTCGATGACGATACGTCGTGACGGTGAAGCGACACCGTAAGAGATAGTGTAACCACGGACCTAAACGAGCATCTTAAGTTGAGGTTCTCCTGGATTTTCTGTTTTCTGAGAAACTTGCGAAATATTCCTTGGGCTTTATAAAACGAAATTATGAAAGAAAACCAAGTCTTTGCCTAGAAATTGCTTGAGGAATTTGTTTGTTTGAGTATAAAAAAGAGCAATTCAGGGAGCTCTGCATATCATATTCTAGGGCTTGATACAAAATTCTTATTGAACCTTGAACTCTAGAAATTATCAAACATATTTTGATCAAAGAAATCATAATCTTACCAAGACGCTCTTGTCTGAAGGTGCATCCCACCATAGAGTTGCCGTTGTGGCAGTTGTCCGTACTCTTACATTTTCAGGTCGATCAGGAACTCGAAGTTCTGCAAAGCAAATTTAAATGATAGATAAAAGTAAGATGCCATTAAATCATTTCACCCTTTTCTTCTGACTTGATTTGAAACCTTCTCCTTTTTCAGTGGTAGTTCTTGGAATTTATAACGACATTTTGGGCTTTCTTTCCTTATTTTCGCTGATTTTTTGATGTCGATAAGAGTGGACTTTATATCGAAGAAAACATAAAGCTTTTCCGCATATTTTTTGGCTTGAAAAAAAGCTAGATGATCTACTCTATTTGACTTCTAAATAAATTCTCTTGTTTTTCTGCACTTGGCATTCACAAAGTGTTTTGAAAGAGAAGGAAAAGTTTGTGCTCATTTCAATTTGTTTTTAGACTTGAATTAACATTCCTTGAATGTAAAATTGATATCAATTTATATTTTTTGTAACAGCAAAATCTTCGATAAAGTGGGAATGATTAAATTTTACTTCTTTTTGTGCACCAGTGAACCCATTTTTTGAGTGAATAGCGTTTAAGTGGCATCAAACAGAACGACAATGGCCCACAGAGTAGCGCTGATAAATGGTTGCCCTAATGCCCTAAAATGTGCTCCGCATTTACCCGATTCATGTTTTCCCTCGATTCCGCGTTCTCAGCTCGCATCGAAAATTTTCAAGAGCCTCAGAGAAAATTTCGCTCTACCACCTGCCTCTAGAGGCTACCCATAGCTAACGCTCAGGCTTAAGTGGCGCTTATTATTAAGAGCAACGCCTCGCAATATATGACCTCATAAAGGTCCATCCAGAGCATATATTCTCTGTACGACAGGTATAATTTGAGCATTTGTCAACCAACAAGAGCTACCTGCGCCCTGAGAGTAGTCGCTAGAGCAGCTGGCTGCTCGGGCAACTGCTGCTCGTGCTGCTGCAAGAGTGAAAATTATGGAATTTAGCGCAAAATTTGCATCGCAACAAGGTGCTAGAGCCGATTTGCATAGCTCGAGCGACTCCTCGAAGTGCTGGCCCCTTTGGCAACAAAGCTCGTCGCGGCTCTGCTTCCACGCTCTGTTCCGGCGTTCACGCGCTTGTCAACAAGCGCGGCAGGAAGTGCACAGCCGGCCTGGTCCCAGTCACACAGAAACAATTGCTAATGGTTCTAATTTGGCAATGTGTCCGCGCGAGGTGTGAACGGTTGAGGTGTCGGTTCCAATCAAGTGGAAAGGATTCGGGCATGTTTACAAGGCGAAGAGGAAATTCGATGACAGAGAAAGAAAATGCAAATGGTTGTGACCTTTTGATGGGATAAAGCTCCAAAAAGTTGTGCGTTGCTTGGAAAATAAACTGATTACTGGGAAAGAAAAAAATAGCCAGCAAGCAGCAACTTTGCTGTATGGGAAGGCGATTTGAAAATTAGTTTGAGCCCAATCATTTTGTCGAAGTGATACTATACATAAGATACGCGCTGTCGAAAAGATCTGGAATCGACGTAGAAAATCAGGTCAAAAGAAATAAACTTCAAAAATCGCATATACTACATCTAAATGTAAGTAAAAAGGGAACCCTCGCCTATCCGTTAGATATAAAAATGAATGTCTATAATTAGACAATTATCTGCAGATTTAATGCATAACTTCACCAAAAAAGTGTAGCAAAACCTAAAAAGATGGATTCTTCCTTTAACTCGGTGGTTTTTTGTACGGAGCTTTCTGACTTTAATTTTGTTACTACCAATGCTTTTCCAAATTGCACTGAGTAAATGATTTTTATACGACCTTAGCAATCGTAAGTGCTATGACAATAAAAAGAAGGTAGCGAATTTTCAGAACTGGTAATCGGAGATATATGTTTTGGAATAAGCAAAAAAATCTAAAATGAATCTGGAAGAACCTTTTAATAATCAAGTTGGATGAAATCTGATGAGGTTACAGCTGTTGATAAGCTGCTGGAAAATGGGAAACATACTCATACTCGATCTCCTAAAAAACGTTATAAAAAATATTGGTATTGATTTGGTATATAAGGTCTTGCACTATAAGTCAAAATTCGAAAAGATCGAAGATCTCAAAATTTTCTGTACTGCTACCGTTGATTCACATGATCAAGCGAACTCCTTCAACCCAAAATTTTGGTGCAAGATCTAGAATCAGTAGTCCGCTCTCTGCACAGTTCTCGATTTTTTCTGAAGTGAGTTTTATGAAAAAAAGAAGCAAGG